ATTTGATTGCTCTGTGCTGAAGCCTTTTGGGACCCTTTTTTGACCATACAATAGTAGTATGTATAACTATTGCAAGTTCATGTAAACAGAGGTGACGTGCAGGGGGCACATTTGGGTGCACATGCAACCCCTGCATGTGGCGGTGCAACCCCTGCATGTGGCGGTGCAACCCCTGCAAAAAAACCCTGCTTGCTACCCTGCCACCGGCACTGCTGGCAGCATCTAGGGGCAGTCCACGATTGCCCCGGCCGCCACTGGTGGCACCTGCGGGTGGTTGCTCACCCTGCTCACCACACTTCCTGCAACTGAAAGTGTCAGTAGTGTCTGCAGGAGCTCCCTGCCACCAGGCTCCTACCAGGGGCAAGCACTGTTCATGCATATAAATCTAAATAATCAAAACCTCTACATTCATCATTTGAAATAATAAGGAAATGTATACTGGAAGTTGCTTTATTTAGTGGGCAGTCTCCTTTCTGTAAGCTGAATGAATCATGGGTCCTGTGGGAGCATATAGTTAATGTATAAACCTGAGATAACCGTAGTTTTAGATTTTCTAACTTTTGAATGGTGTACCTGAGAGTCTCAATAGTACCCCACTATACTATCAGATTCTTTTGCAGGGGATCTTTAAGGTGAGAAATGGGGTGAATGTACTCAACCTGTTTTGAAACTCAAAGAACTAATCATGAGTTGCTGTGCTGTTATGATGGGGTAAATGTCTGGAGTTCAGTGGTTGGCAGAGAATTAACTTTCTCTCTGTGAAGGACATAAAGACTTTACCTGCCTGCCTTCAGCATAGGATTGCCAGGGAGGTAGGACTGTGCACAAGTGAGAGAAATTACATCACTGGATGAGTAAGGGTTTTAAGACACTGAGGTGACCCTGCAACACAAGTTGGAGGACTGAAAGGATGGTTGCTGAAGTCCGTCTGCATGAGGCTGTCTTGTTGAGATGACTTACTCTTGTTTGCATGCTTTCTCAAAGTTCCATGTGAAAAACTTTGTCGTAAGAAAACCTGTTTACTCCATAGGCCACTGTATAAAATGAGTAATTTCAGAGATTACCTGATATACTGCATTAACCCAAGACAGCTTCAAATTTAAGACAACCCTCCCCCCCAATAATTAGATTTTATATATGGAAAATGATGAAGTGGGAGTTCATCTTAAATTTATCCGTACCACTGCTGTGCTGGTGAAAGCAGTGGCAGTGGGGTGAGGAGCCTGATCCTTGCCTGTTGCTCTTTTGCCCCCTTACTCCCTGTGCCTTTACCTTTCCACTACTGTGCCTCCTCTCCCTATTGCCTGCCTACCTAGATGTGCACCCCCATGCCTCTTCCCTGCCTCCCACTCACCTTGTTCTCCCTGGCAGGCTGCCTGCCACTTTCCATGCTCCCCCCTGCAGCCTGCCACCCTCATCCCCTGCTCTTTCCTGTAGCCTACTCTCCCACACCCTGCCCATTCTGCTCCCCACACACCTTCTGCTGCAACTCTTCTCTGGGGCAGTCAGCAGCAGTGTGGCCCCAACCTGACCTTGGCTCAACCCATCCAGGAAGAAACAGCAGCAGTTCTTGTCTTGGCAGGGTCCTGGCTAGAAAGACTGGAGCTAGAGAAAAAGGTAAGTGGGGAAGGAGTAGCTTGGGGGAGGGGGAACAGGGAGTGAGAATGGGGGGGTAAGGGGTTGGGGACAGACATGGGCATGGTTGGCAAAGGGTCAGGGCTCAAGATGCAAGTTCCCTCCCATCCTATCCTACAGTCTCCCTCACATTCCCCCTTGGCCACATGCCCTCCCCTCCATCAAGCAAGTCATCCAGCCTAGGGCAGGCAGTGGCCCAACTCTGGCTTGAGCCCTGAGGTGGGGGCCAAAGCCAGAGTTCATCTGCTGCCTGTCCTGAGCTGGTGCTTGAATCCAAGTTGAGGTTTACTTTTTCCACCAAGCTGACAGGGGAGAAAAAAACCCTCATCTTACATTTAAGTAAATATGGTACTATAATGATGTACTGGCCTTGTAATACTTACTACTTTGCTGTATGTGTGCAGCAGTATAATAACTAGGGCTATGTGAAGCTTTGGGTGGTGATTCGATTCGGAGGAGATTCGGCCCAATTCGGTGGCTGAATCTCTGAATCCAAATCAAGTCAGGGGATCAATATAAAGGTCTGAATCAGTTCAAAGCTCTCTGAATCTTCGGAAATGATTCTGAGAGCTTTGCTGATTTGGGCAGTCCCCGGTGGCTGCATCTGGGAGCTGCAACTGACTCCAAGCTGGTAAGTACTAGGGGTGGGGGAAAGGG